AGTCGTTTTGTGTGGCGAGGTTGGCTTCTGAGCCATTTTGGGGTAATGGCAGAAAGCCATTTTGAGATGATGTAGGAGGGTTAGATGATGATGGGAGCGTAGGTGCCCTTTGTAAGGCTAGCAGGGCGTCCATTAAGAGTTGTTGGTTCTGTTGAAGGGAGGTGACGCTCTCAGTCAGTACAAGTAGCTGATCTGTTATCACCGGTTGGGAGGATTGTTCTTCCGGAGAGCCACCGGAGTTGTGTTCCGAGGTCTCCGCCAGGGTCTCCCTACCGCCACCTTGGGATGTCGCTACTCCAGTTCCAGTGTTCTTTTTGGGTGCCATGTGAAGCGAGCACCACTCTTCCCCAGTAGAGTATAATGTGGGTGAGAGGTGTGGTTAGAGGTAGTCCGGGAAGATGGCGGGCACTTCAATGGCTTGGGACCACCGGAGGTGGAGAGGAGGAGGTCAAGGCAAGCTTGGAGAGGGAGAGGTTGGCAGTGATAGGCCTTTGAACACTAATGTAAAGTATGAGAGAGTGTTTTCGCATGAGACCTGGTTATATTGTTCTCGTTGTGTCTCGCTGTATATACGATACGTTATATAGGCCGCAGGAGTATTGGAGCCCAAGCAAAGTGTCGGACAGGTGGCTCGTTCTCCTCAACTCTGCCAGAAGTGATATAAGCCCTTCTGCCGTCTGTGGCTTGCCGGCAGGCGGAGAGCAACGTTTCATGGCAGGCAGAAAGTAACGTTTCGTATATGCATCGGATGACATGAACGTAAGGTCATTGTTGCCTCTTCTCCAAGCCTGGTCGAGATAGAGTTGTCTTAGCAAGAAGACAACTATCTCGACGATCCCATGACCTCAGCCGCCAGTCCAGTATCCTCTGATGATCCCGAGCAGTAGTGCCTGGGTCTTGCTCCCAACCCAGGCATCCAAGTAGATAAATGGGCTAGGGGCCACCTTAGTGTTTAGGAGAGCCAAGGGCTCGTTTCCAAGTGATCAAGTAGGAGAATGGGCCGCAGGCCTATCTCAATGTTTAGGAGAGCCATTGTTTATCAATCCAAGAACAAGTGAGCCGGGGGCTGATTGTATTATTGTTTGGCCTTGGAGCTAGGTATGAAGGACCATGGGCCTTGCGGGGCCATGGTGCTGTCTGTTGCAGGGCTCTTCATATCTAGATATATTTGGGCTTAAATCTAATCCAGATAGTAATTGCAAATACTATGTTGAACCCTAAACGAATTTACGTATTTAGCTGATCTGACATTGTTCTCTGTTTTCTTCAGACTCTGACACCCCATATGCAATCTGCTGCTACAAAAGCAATAAATACAGGTTTGGATTTTGGCGCAAGTAAAACCTATCAAAGGACATCTAGTTTAAGTGATCAAGATCAGGTAAACTTCTCATTAGAGCTCTGGAAGAAGGCTTTCAAGGATGCCTGTGAACGGCTTTGTCCTGTTCGAGCTGGCGGACACGAGTGTGGCTGCTTACCTGTGCTGGCTAGATTGGTAAAATCTACATGCTCTACTTTCCTTTTATACTATTGAGGTCTAGCACCTCAAAACACCACCTTTTTGTCAGTATGTTTATACGTGAACCCCCAGTATTGTACCATGGCAGCCACTGTACAGCTATATGAAATAATACACCAAAGGACTAAAAAGCAAACTACAATAACATTAGTAGAGATGCAAATTCATATGGTGAAGGAGCTACCTGATTGGGTGATAACAGAAGCTCTCAAATCAAGATGGAGCAGCATTTTGGAGAGAGAGAATGATCTTTTAGTTTATACATGTAATTCTGCATGGCATGATAAATATTCTTGCTGTATAACTGACTAACGTGATTACTATAACAGCAAATTAACTTCTAAAAAGAACAGTAAAGAAATTGGAGTTCTAGTTCAGCCAAAAAAAGGAATAAGAAAATGCATAATAATGGTATTTTCATTTGCTTTTCTTGGTGCTAAACTTGGATAGACTAAATGATTCAAATACACTAGCAATCGGGGCCTATGTACGGGCTAGATTCATGTTGTGTGTATGCTATGTTGGAACCCCATTTTCATATATTTTTTTATTTAGGAAAATACATGTAGGAATATACGGTGTTGTCTTGCCCAAAAAATAATTCCTACCATCTTTTAGGATACCATGGTCTTTTGCCTCTTTTTCAACAGTTTGGTGCATTTGTCAGTCCTTGAGCTGAACATAGTCTTTTTCCTCCATTTTTTAATTTTTTGTTTTTCTTCTCATGAAGTTATAATGTTCCATTTATAATATAATACTTGTTGGTGTGGGTGAGAGGTGTGGTTAGAGGTAGTCCGGGAAGATGGCGGGCACTTCGATGGCTTGGGATCACCGGAGGTGGAGAGGAGGAGGTCAAGGCAAGCTTGGAGAGGGAGAGGTTGGCAGTGATAGACCTTTGAACACTAATATAAAGTATGAGGGAGTGTTTTAGCATGAGACCTGGTTGTATTGTTCTCGTTGTGTCTCGCTGCATATACGATACGTTATATAGGCCGCAGGAGTATTGGAGCCCAAGCAAACTGATGGACAGGTGGTTCGTTCTCCTCAACTCTGCCAGAAGTGATACAAGCCCTTCTGCCATCTGTGGCTTGCCGGCAGGCGGAGAGCAACGTTTCATGGCAGGCAGAAAGTAACGTTTCGTATATGCATCGGATGACATGAACGTAAGGTCATTGTTGCCTCTTCTCCAAGCTTGGTCGAGATAGAGTTGTCTTAGCAAGAAGACAACTATCTCGACGATCCCATGACCTCAGCCGTCAGTCCAGTATCCTCTGATGATCTCGAGCAGTAGTGCCTGGGTCCTGCTCCCAACCCAGGCATCCAAGTAGATAAATGGGCTAGGGGCCACCTTAGTGTTTAGGAGAGCCAAGGGCTCGCTTCCAAGTGATCAAGTAGGAGAATGGGCCGCAGGCCTATCTCAATGTTTAGGAGAGCCATTGTTTATCAATCCAAGTACAAGTGAGCCGGGGGCTGATTGTATTGTTGTTTGGCCTTGGAGCTAGGTATGAAGGACCATGGGCCCTGCGGGGCCATGGTGCTGTCTGTTGCAGGGCTCTTCATATCTAGATATATTTGGGCTTGTATATATGCTCCCGCTTAGGCTAAGCATATAGTTTTGATTGCCTTGGCACATGGCGCCTATAGGGCTCGCCATGTATCAAATATACGACATGCCAGACGAGGTGCCTTATTGGTCTGCCACGTAGGTGGGGTTTTGGTGATGTGGCACCTGTAGGGCTTGCCACGTATTGAGCTTGATACAAGTACCCACATTAGGCATCAGATGTCGGAGTCATATTGAACTAGTGATTGAGTCAGAATGTGTATCTTGAATTAATGTTTTATGTCTCACCTTCACGTTGTCCACTATGAATTAATTAGTATTATTATTGTTTTCTTCTCCTTATTGAATTTAAATTACTGTTTTCTACCCTTTTTCTTTATTGGAAGAATGTGTGAGATTAGCTATTTGGTTTTTTGTACACTATACAACCATCCATTAGGAGTCTTGGCCTAGCATGGTAGCACAGATATCGTCACATGGAGAAATTTCTGTATCATTGCCATACTGAAAAGCTTTAAGTGCATACCACTTCTCTAGTTTGGATTTATCTTTAACTCTTATTTTATGTCAACTTTTCTCTGTAGGTTGAACTGATGCGTAACTTACAGGATAGAGATGATCAATACAAGACACTGTTAAATGAGAAGCTTCAAATGGCTGATAGCAGTGGTTTCATTCAATCATATAGAAAAGAGCTTGGGGACAGCCTTGTAGTAAGTTAGTCATGTTCATGGCTAATTAAAGCTAATTTTGGAACTTATTGCGGTGAGGGGATATTTAAAACTTCCCTAAGCACCTTGTAAATATATTATTTGTACGGTATATAATTTAATTCCTAAGTGTTGAACTATTTTATGAGAAAGAAGTCGTTGGATTTTGCATATAGAATTAAGTTTGAGTAGGGGAAAAAAATGGTTGATGAGTAATTATCCCATGTTCCTGGAATTCCATGTTGGCTATGTGCCCAACCAATAGCAAGGGATTAAATGAATACATGGCCTAATAATAAGAATATAATGGAAAAAATATAACATTTCATTGGTCGAGCACATGAACACGTGGTGTTCTCGACGTACTTCATAATTTCTGGTTGATGAAGATATAGATTGATTGATTGCTTGCTTGCTGTATAAAAACTACAGTAAATTTAGAACCTGTTTGTTTTTTTATTATTGATTGAATGGTATAAAGGATTAATTGTGCTAGAAAAAAAAGCAATGCTACGCACCTGAATTAAATATATGATCCAATTCTTTTATTGAGGTGCAATTGTATTTTTATGCTTTTGCAGGAGTATTTTAAGTTGAAATGTTGGGTTTATTGGCATTCAATCATGTTCTGAGGACTTAATTACCATTTTCATCAAAGCAAGTAGTCTTTTGTATCTTATTTTTCAACTGGTTGCACTTGGGGGTCTTGTTTCAGGTCAATAAATACCTTACTGTTCAGTTTCGGGATGAGCAGATTGTGTATTATAATTCAGTAATGCTATGTTTGGTTGAGGTTTTTGGGGTGGGATTTGGAAAAGGAATGAGAAATGTAATCCTATTTATGTTTGGTTATAATAAAAAATATATGGGAAAAGAAAGGGGGTGAGAAATAAACCTTTTAGGACATCAATTCTATTTTATAACCAACACAACCAAACATAGTTGGGATTTGGAATTCTATTAATTCTCTCTCCTTTTCCTTTCATTTCCATTTCCCTTCCCAAATCCCCCCAACCAAACACAGCGTAAGGCTATGTTTGGATTATAAATTTGGCTAAGGATTTAGGATTTGAAAAAACAAAAGAAAAAAATGTGAATGAAATATAAACTGATTTTTTATTTGTAGTGATTTTTTTTCTTCTTTTTTGTCGTACAGTGCTATTTCCCTAATGAACCATGGGGGAAAAAATATTTGGCACATGTCGCCTTCTTTTACAACTCGAACCAACAAATAAATTGTCTATTTTGAATATCCCAACACTTGTATTTGTCTGAGATGCAGCAAAAATATTACATTTCAATTTGCCACATGGCTTGGTTAGGCAACCAAGTAATTTTGTAGCTTGATTGTGCAACTCGTACACTGAGGAAAACGAAATATGTCTGCATGACATTTCCATGTACTAATATATCTACTTCTAAGATGTTGTAACGAAGAATTGAAAGAAGATTTTACATTTTCTTATTATGGTTTTTAATTAACAACATTTACAAGTGAGGCTCATCTCTGTATTGGTGTTTTGCTAACTCGGGCATTTCCTGATGCTCAAACTTCCATCGTCATCAGCTCTTCTTGACTTGATGACACACCCAGATCATTTGATAACTTTTTACACAACTGCACGTCCCATGTTAGAATCATATGTTAGAAATGTCTTTCTGCCTGTGTCTCACACACACACACACACACACAGAGAGAGAGAACCTGTCTATAAACTGTAGAATCTCCGTATGATTTTCTTAATTCAACTACATACAGGGATGGGCTTATCTCGAACACCTGCCACAATTACAGACAGCATGATGAATATATATACAAGGTTTTAGTGCCACCAAACTACGTTACACGGACTCTTTGGATTTTCGGATGTACCTGTGTCGATAATACACGACACAGGTATGGGTGTAGGATGCGGCCAAGATACGGCTACTTACAAATAGATACGGCATAAGAAATGAAAGAGGCGAGAGCAAGAGAGAACCTAGTCACCGTTCGAAAGGGTGAAGACATCGATCTGGTCGCTGACTTCGATCCCTCTGGTCGCTGGCTTCGACTTACGCTCGATGCTCGATCTCCTTCCCTATCTTCTCCCTCGATCAGTCTTCTCTCTCATCTCTCAATCTCCTTCTTCCTCTCCTCTTGTCTCTGGATCTCCCTCTCTCTCTCTCCTTCTGTCAACTTCTCTTCTTTTTTTGTCTACTCTTCTTTCTGTTCTCTTTCTCATCTTGTTAATTACATTTATATTATTTACTATAAATTACATTAATATAATAATATATAATATTATTCACCCAATAAAATATTGTATAATATAATATATCATAAATAATATAATTTATTTTATGTCTAAAATAATTTTTCTTTGTTATTTATATTTTTTTTTGTTATTTTTTTTAACAAAATCTGTTATTCCTTAACTTTTTTTAACTTATCTTCATATAATAAATATATTTAAAAATAACTATTTAATGTATTCCCGTACCCGTATCCAAATTTGGATCCATATTCACGTATCTTCAATTTTTAATTTTGAAGTGTTCGAATTTATATTTTTTTTAACAAAATCTGTTATTCCTTAACTTTTTTTAACTTATCTTCATATAATAAATATATTTAAAAAAAAACTATTTACCGTATCCCCGTACCTATATCCAAATTTAGATCCATATCCACGCATTCTCAATTTTTAATTTTGAAGTGTCTGACCCTTAAATATGTACCAGCACCTGATACCCCACACCCGAATCCGTGTAACGTAGCCACCAAGTACATAAAATAAAAGAATTTCTTATAACAATTAGTTTGAATAATAAAACTTGCTTACTTCTGCTGCGACTGAAAGGCTACACGGGCTCCTCTGACCTTTGTGCTCTTGAATCACCTTAAGCTGAAAAAGATGGACACCAAATATTACTGAATTCTCAGAAAAATTTCCTTCAAAATTGACATGGTTTTCATTTTAAAACAAGCCTCATTGATTCTTTAAAACCAGCATTTAAAGAAAGCATATCTGATTCTGGCATGGAATTGACATTTATGATATAACCTCATTTTTTTCTTTTCTTCGAGGATTTTGAAAATCAAAATTTTCTGGTTTGTGGAGGGGATGGGGATCATTTCTTATACAATGTTCTGTTATCTATGGAAAAATGCAGAGGAATGTATGCATGCAATGCAAGTCCACAGCTTTCAAAGAAACTAACCTGTCCATTTTTTTTCTGGACCCCAAATCCCATCTGAGTTACGGTATCCTCAATCCTCTCGAGCAATTCTTTTGGGGAACGGTTGGATGTAAACCTGATCTTCCTTTCCGAAACATCCTAAAATAAGTCAAAAACAAAATTTTTGTTTAGATTTTGGAATAAAACTTGCTGGCACGAGGATATTGACAATGAATTACAAAGCTAACAAGTTGTGTTATTGAGGTTGGCACCTCTTTCTCAAAGAAGCCAGAGAGATCAAGGCATGAGGACATTCCAATCAGCTGAAAAGCGTTGATAAGGGTAGGTGAATCTGGATTTTTCTTTGCTTCAGATGGCTGCTTTACACCATAAGAGTTTGGCACAAAATCACTAAATAAAAATAGCCAAACAAGGATTGAAAAACAAAGGGAAAGGTTATATCACTCTCAAGTTCATTCGTACCATGTCTGTGTCTGCATGCATTCTCAAGGCTTCATCCTCTATGTGTACATTTTCTTCATCATCATCAGGTCTTCATCATCATGAGAATCTTGTTTGAACCATTCGTCTGCTTTAATCTCTGCCATTGTTATCCGAGTAGCAGGGTTGGGATCAAGAATCCTCCTTATTAGGTTTCGTGCTCCCAGGGACAGCCATTTGGGTATTTGAACTTCTCCCTTGAAAATCTGAAAACACCTTGAGAGGATTAAAAAGATCGGAACTTTTATCCACTTTGTTGGAAATTATCTGTAGTGTAGTCTAGAGGAGGAGGAGGAGGAGGAGGAGGAGGGGTGTGTGTACCTTCTGGTAGAGAACAGCGAGATTTCGATCGTCAAAAGGGAGATAGCCAGTGAGAATGACATACAAGATGACACCAGAGGACCAGGTATCAGAGGTGGCACCATCATAACCCCTGTTAGCAAGGATCTCTGGGGCAACATAATTGGGGCTTCCACAGGTTGTATGCAGTAACCCGTCATCCTAATGGATAGAAAATGGAAGGGATGATGAGTTAACTGAACTGAACTGAACCACCAAAAAATGCCATGTATATATATAGAGAGAGAGATGATACATGTATAGGTGGTTTCCATACCCTAAAATGTTGGGGTAATGCACTGAGGCCAAAGTCGGTTATCTTTATGTTTCCTTTTGCATCAACAAGTACGTTCTCTAGCTGCATATTATTAACATTTCGAAAAGAGAATGACTGAGCAAGAAAATATCCACAAAAAATAAGTGCATGCCTTTTTCACAAAGAAAATATCACTAAATGTTGAGTATATGTATTAACTTGGTTGGCAATTGGTTCTCCATTTTTGGGTTGTATGTATACCAGCGGTGGCAGGCGGGTGCACACGCTAGATATGCATGTTTAATTTTAGATTTAAATTTTTTGACAATTTGTTGAATGAGAAACATGAATTAATTTTGAAAACTGATTAGCAGCTATTGTGGCATGTTTGTATACTCAATTCAATTAGCCCTTTTTTTTTTTTTCTTTTTTTTTAAATTTAAAATTATGTGACAATTTTAAAAATGTCTTTGAGTAGAGGGGGAAAGATGAATGAAAGAAAGAAAGAAAGAATGAAGGGAGAGGGGTACCTTGAGATCGCGGTGGTAAACACCTTTGTTGTGACAGTAGCTAACTCCGTCAATTAGCTGTTGGAAGAGCTTCCTTCCTCGTGACTCTGACAGTTTCCCTTTCGATGCCTGTAGACAGCCAACCAGAGCAAGAGCAGCAGCAGCAGCGTAAGAGTGTTTAAAAAATAAACAAAATCAAAATCAAAGATTTTCTGAAGCATTATTATTGGAATTATTATTATGGGGTCAAAAGCAAAAGCTCAACTTACAATTCTATCAAACAATTCACCACCCGTCACGTATTCTAGGACCATGTAAATCTTGGATTTGCTTGCCAGGACCTACGCACGCACATACATACATACATATTCATCATCATCATTAACAAACCCATCAAAACTATATATATATATATATATGATCACAAAGCATAATCAATCATAACAATTCCATTTAAATAGGAATTTTTTTATAATATAAGGGGTCATGTTAACTGACTAGAAAAATAACAAAATAATTAGAATATTAAATTGTCTATTAAACAGAGGCTGCGTCATATATATATATATATAGTCCAGGAGAGCAAACCTTGGTCTCTGTTCTCTCAAGTTATCTGGTGGCATTAAACAATTGTTTTTTTATTACTATTTTTGTTTATTTTTTATTTAAAGATTGACAGTGCGGGAGGTATAGAGATGATTAGTTGTATGAACCGACCAGGACCCGTGAGAGAATATTCTAAAACATTGACCTGGTATTCCACGTGGGTATTTCATTTTCATATTTTGTAGCCTGATTATGTGGAACTAACCAAACGAACGAGGAAGCGTATTTGAACGGGCCAGTGGATTTGGGGTGGGCTTGAAGCTGTGCCAATCTTATCTTATCCTACCCCTCCCCCCTCTCCCCCATTATCAGACAGACAAATAATATAACATCAAATGGGTTAATTCCATAAAAATAAAAGAACAAAAAAATAAGGGTTGTCAGTTCGTTGGTTATTTTTATTTTAATTGATAACAAAAACACAAAAAGATACCACTCAAAAACAAGTTTGATACTCTCCTTCATAGTTTCAGACCCTAATCCACTTCTAGTCTCTATTGTTCTTCTTCATCATATTCTGCTGGTCTAATTTCCCAATTGAAACAAATAATTGAGAGTCTCCAATGTTTTTTTGTTTTCTTTTCTTCTTTTTAAGCTTTCTCCTATTGGGTTGGAAAAAACAGGTGAAAAGAAATAAGGGTCGTGTCTTATGTCGTAGGTAGGTCCACTCCGCCATACTAAAACTATAGTACTATATACATTAATTATTAATGGACATATTAACATATCAATTAGTATTATATCATTATTATTAAGTTTATCTATTATACAAAATATAAATACTCAAAACTAACAATGATACATATCTCTAAAATTAGAGCTCTAATTGAACTCTAGTGAGATGGAAAGTCAAAAAAAAAAAAAAAAAAACAAGGCTAAAATATCATATCAGATGAGTCTCACATACACATTAAAACTATTAGAGCTCACACGTTAAAGCTCCAAAACATTTTTGACAAATAAATATCACTTAATTACTTGTATTGGTGATGTGATGTCTAATGAAAAAGGGAAATAATTAAAGGTAGAAACTCAAATAATAAAAAAAAGAAATTTAGGCCTTGTTTATCATAACCTAAAAAAGTTAAAAAATTAAAAAATTACTATCCTATTTAGGGGTGGTTTGGAATGCTCTAAATAAGTGCACGTTTTGATTTTTTATAAAAAATGTGTAGAAAAGTAAAGAGAAGAGGGCGATTGATGTAACTCAAAAAAAATAAAAAGATGAACTAAAAAATAGGTTATGCCAAATAAGGTTTTAAGTCACATCATCTTATTTAAGTCACATTACCTCTCTACTACATCACTTCAAACTCAACTCATACCCAACTCATATTTCATAAAAAGTCAAAAACTACACCTATTTAGATCATCTCAAACCACCCCTTAATAAATAGAGGGAGGGAGAGGCTCATCATCATATCTATAAGAATAAAGATTGAAAACTCTAATTTTAAAATATTTTTAAATTAAAATTAAAAAAAGAGATTTAGTGGTATGACAAAGAATAAGATCCATAAATAATATGATGTGCGTCTATATTTTTTTTTTCCACTTATCACATCATTGAAACTCTATTATTGTTAGAGACCTGAGACCTCCGCTCCACACGCACGTAAGGATTGCTGATTGAAGAAAAAAAATAAAAAAAATAATAATCTGGCCAATCATCACCCACTAGGGTGCTGGCGTCTTTTCCCTTATTGTTGTATCTATATATATTTATTTCTTTTAAAAAATAGTAAAAATAATAGATTCCTACTTTCATGGCTGCCAGTGCCAGGCACGAAATTATCTACCGCAATTATTTCGAGGGAAAAAAAAAATCATATTGTACTTTTAATGATTTTTAGCGTTTGGTTGAATAATTTTAAAAAAAAAAAATTAGTTGGAAATTTTGAAAAAAAAATTTAGAGAAGAAAATAACTGCACAGTTTGTAACCGCCAAAAAAAAAAAATTTATGAAATCATAAAAAAAAAAAAGTGTAATATTTTAATTATTAAGATCTATAATTTTTTTCTACTGATTTATAAATTATTATTTTTTAACTGTTCAACTGTGGAGGGCAGGGTAGGGTAGGGTAGGGTACCTCGTGTAATCTGACAACGTTTGGATGTTTGAGAAGCTTCAATGTCCCAATCTCCCTCTTTATCTGCAAATTCCAGTCCCCCACAACACAATTCCTTTAATTTGTTAGATAGAAGAGGTAATGTAATGTATATTATTAATTATATAATATTGAGCAATGAAAAAATGAGATGGGGATTGGGAGGAGACAACTGGGCTGGGCTGGGCTGGGCTGGGCTGGGGATCATAATAATAAGAGGAAGAAGATATGAAAACAGAGAGACAGAGAGGAGAAAAGTATCTCAGACAAGTCCCCCCCATGTATAATAATAAATTTCAGAGACAATAATGATTCATCTAATCTCTCAACATCTTCATCTCTCTGTTTCTCTTCTTGTGTTGAGTTTTGAAAAGATGTTGATCATGCCATGTTGATGCTGATGATGAACAACAAACAAGAGCAATCTCCGATCCAAAAGGCAAAAACATGACTCTGCAATTTGTGTGTATTGTATATGTATGTAGAAATATGAATGTTAAAAATAAAAACAAAAGAAGAAAGAGGGGAGAGGAGGGGAGGGGAACCTGATCGGTGATATTGAGGTGAAGGATTCTGGCCTTGTCGAGGATCTTGAGGGCGAATGAGTGGCCAGAATCAAGGTTCTTAGCGTACTTTACTTTCCCAAAATTGCCTTCTCCCAATGTCCTCCCGATCTCATACTTTCCTCCCAGTCGCATTCCCTCCTCGTCCTCTCCCTCCTTCTTCTTCTTCTTCCCACCACCACCAACTCCTACCATCCAACCAACCTTCCCTCTCCTCCTCTTTCTTCCCCACACACACACACACACGATTCGAGCCTTTTGGAGGACTTGTATCGGCTACACACACGTCTCTCTCTCTCTCTCTATGTACGTATCCTCTCTGATCTTCCTCTGCACTCAATTAGCTTTTGAAACGGTTATTTTATGACTATTGGCTGAGAGCATCCAGGGAACGCTACACAATTAATTGCTAAAATATCTGGATGTCTGTGTATTTATATATGTAAATCCATGTTTGTCATGTATGTATGTATGTAATTTATAGTGATGTTTTTGGAATTTGATAAAAAGTAATTTTTTGTTTTTGTTTTTGTTTTTTTGATTTTTTGGTTTTTTTTATGTGAAAAAATAGAGAAGTAATATGATTTTAAAAAGTCACAAAAATCAAAAAATTGGCTTTTTACTGTGCTACCTAAAGGCTCGTTTGAAAACATGTTATTTTAATAATTTTTTGGCTAAAATATGAGATAAAAAAATTAGTATGTTTGGAATGAATTTTTGATTTTTTACGAAAAAATGTGTAAAAAATAGAGAGAAAATTGAATCTTTGACTTTTTAGTATAGATTATAGGTTTTTTAGTTTTAGTAACTTTTTGACTTATAAACTAAAACAAGCACTTGCCAAACGTGGCCTAAGTCCCATTTGAAAATATATTATTTTAGCAATATTTTAAATTTTTATAAAAAAAATATGTAGAAAAATAAAATTCACGTATGTCACGTATGTATGTAATCTATACATAGGTCTTATTTGAAAATATATTACTTCAGTAATATTTTAACTTTTTATGAAAATATATGTAAAAAAAATAAAAAGAATAATATGATAATTTATAGATAAAATTATTTATAAGTCCTATTTGAAAAACTTAGGTAGTGTTTAGTAGAGTTTTTTAAATATTATTTGAGAACCGGAGTTGTATTTTGAGCTTGTGAGTTTTTTTATTTTTATTTTTTAGTTTGTGAGTTTTGAAATTATAATTTAAATGTAAAAATTTTGTTTGGTGAAAGAGTTTTGAATTGAGTGGGGAATTTTTGATGTGACATATGATAGTTGATACAAAAATTTACAACTCATAACCAAACACACAACTCAAAATTCTATTCAAAACTCATAATTTTTTAAAAAAAATTCTGAATTTTTTTTATTTAAAATATAAAAAATAATAAGTGCCAATTGTAAATAAATAAATAAATAAATTTGTACTGTTCCGGTCAACTGGCTGAACATCCAGAGGACGACCGGCCGAACGTCCGGGGAGACAACCAGTTAGCCTAAATTTTTCTCCTTAGAAAGAGTTTTCAAAAGTGGATATATAATTAATTTTTAAAAACTGTAACCAAGCACTACTTGCAAATCAAGAGATAGAACTACATTTCCAGAACTCTTCCAAACAAAGTCTTATTTAATGTGAAATCCTATAAATATTATTTTAGAGTTTGGAATCCTATTTAAATAAGAATGTATTCCATAAGGTCCTATGAGTTATAAATAAATGATATTAGTGTACTATTATACACCTAATTTGTATTCATATTGTATCTTATTTTTTCATTCATCATATCATGTTTAGGAAGGCTTTTAGGAACGACAAATTTATAAACAACGATGTTGCGAGTTTTTTTCACCTTGATCGCGAGATTCCAGTATATTTTCAAAATATTGCTTAAATAGATATGTATATGGTTGATGATGTGATGAAGTTTAAGGGTTGCGTGTTAATTTCTTTGACAAATTTCGGCTCTAATCGGTTGAGGAGAAGAGGGTTTCTTGTTTTTGTTTTTGTTGAAGTGTGTTACTGTCTGTTGAAGTGTGGATTGTTCATCTTTAATAGGACATTGACAATCTATTACACTTATTAATATATACACTTTGGCCAATGTTCTGATTGAATGTATGTATTTAATACTGTGATGGTTGATGCGTTTTAATATGTTCGATGTGTGGGGTGGTGTGTATGGGTTCATGGGTTGGGTTAGGGGTATTAAGTTTTGGTTGTTAAGTGGATGTTGAACATGAATCACATCGTAGGATGACAATTGTACATTGGGACCTAGATGATCGTGTTACGATGCATGTTACATTTAGTGTGTAACGTTAATCCACATACACCATGTAGTAAATGACATTTGTGTATTTGTTTGATTGTATATGTGTTTGAATGTATATCGTGTCTTTGTTGTAATTAGTATTTATATACATGTCACAGTACATTGCGCAAAGTTACTAGAGATTTAGGTTTGTAATTGAATGTGAATTGAATCATATCACGCGATATTAAAGTTACTCTGGGTTGGGGGTAATAGTGGTTCAATACATGAGTTGAGTTAGGATGTTACATATTATATTTAGAAAATTTCATTATTCATAATTCAATGGTGCAGTGTTGGAATGTCACGTTGGGTTTGGGATGAGAAGCATATGGGAATGTCATGGTGGTTTGGGCATTGGATTTGAGATAAGAAACATATGAGAATGTCATGTTAGATTTGAGAATGTCACATTGGGTTTGGGATGTTACATGTTACGTGTTACATTTATGTTTTGAATTTCAAATTTTCAACCATGTAAATATGATCACAATCTATCATAAATATTGGATTTCCCATATATAGTATTGCCATTAATCAAACTATTTTGAATTTCATCAGAAACATATGGGAATGTCATGTTGAATTTGAGAATGTCGCGTTGGGTTTAAGATGTTACATATTATATTTACGTTTTGAATTTTAAATTTCCAACTATATAGATATGATCAGAATTTATGGTAATATTAGATTTCTCATATATGGTATTATCATTAATTAGGTTATTCTAAATTTAAAATTTTTTAACAATATAGGTATGATCACAATCTATGGTAACATTAGATTTTTGACTTTTAAATTTCTAATCGTATAAATATGATCACAATTTATGGTAATATTGAATTTTTCATATATGGCATTATCATTAATCAAGTTATTAATTAATTAAGATTGGAGGTAGATGTGTTCTCAAAAAATTCATAGGACCTATTGAATTATAAGTTTTTTCATAAGATCATATATTGTATAAGTCTTTCAAATAAGACTTATAAATAATTTACCCTAATTTATATTCAGCTTGTTCGGTTAGGTTTTTCAAAAAATACTTTTCAGAAAATTATATTTTCTTATTTTTCGTATTTTTTTTTGTTTTTACTGAATTTTTAAATATTTTAAGCAATTTTTTTTTTTTACTTTTTAGACATAGCTAACATAAATATACCTAAAAAGTAAAAAAAATTGTGAAAAAAACTTTTTAAAAATTTACTAAATACCAAAAATACAAAAAAATATGAAAATTCAGTACATTTTTTTGTATTTTTATGTATTTTTTAATTTTTTAAAATATTTTTTCACAAATTTTTTACTTTTTAGATAAATTTAAGTAAGGTACATCTAAAAAAGTAAAAAAAAATGTTTAAAATTTTAAAAATATTCACTAAAAATAAAAAAATACGAAAACTAAAAAATCCAATTTTCAAAAAATTTAACCCAAAAAATTAAAATTAAAGACACTGATTGATATTTTAATTAATTTTCAAACAAGGCCTTTTATATTATGGAAAACGATAGTGCTAGATGCACCGATTAGTGTACTAACTAGTATACTAACACTAGAAATGACATTATTATTGCCCGCACTCATTAATCACATTACAAATACTAAAAACCTCTTAAATTATGTCACATTCTCAATTGGTACATTAATTTAGTGCATCAACACTGCTACATACCCCCAGTGGAGTCACACCCCCAGTGAGGTGTCGCGCCTCCATTGGCTGAAACTTAAAAAAAAAAAAAAAAAAAATTTTTTTTTTGCCCAATAATGGAGTGCCACCTCATTGGGGGTCGACCCCGTGGGTGTATGAGGCATTTTTCTTTAGTGCATACACCATTATTCTATTAGAACCATTACCACTCCCAACGTATTGTAATTGACTAACTTTTGTTTTGTTTATTTATTTATTTATTTTCCTTCTATATCTAGCTGACATGTGTTAATAGAATTATGGGAGTCAAAATAAAAATTTTTTTTATATCATTTCTGTTATATTATTGTGTGATTTTATTTCTATCCTCTTTCGTGGTTCGTTGCTTCCCCAGGCCCCCACCACTTTTGTCTTGAAAATTATCGGACTTCCTGTCACCGGTGCAGCCAGGAATTTTGTGAGGGGGACAAATTAATGATAATATTAGTTTATTTTTTTTATGGTAAATAATAAAAAGATATTATTAAATTTTAATATTAAGAATTCAAATAGATATATGTAAATTTTAAATTAAATGATTTGAAATTAAATTTTACACAAATATTAAGAAATAATTATTTTAGAAAGATTAGAAAATTAAAAAAAAAGGTTAAAATAAAAATGATATATTTTAACATATCGTAAAAAAAATGTATCATATGTTACAATTATAATTTTTTTGATTTTTAATTATGACACATTATAATATTAGATATAAGATTATTTTGAAAAATAAATTAAAAAATAATTTTTTTTAAATATATAAAAAAATATATATAATTTAAAATAGATTAAAAGTTAAAAATTAATTTTTAATCTTTTAACCAAAGAGACCATAATTTATACTATATATTAAACAAAAGAGGGTTTTTAACCCCTAAGATTTGTGGGAGCTTCAATATCTCAATCTAAATTTTTTATATTTTTTATTTTTTATTTAAAAAAAAACTTAGCATTTATTGATTTGGTTAAAATCTCCCAATCAGCATTTATTAAACTTTTTCAATCCATATGTCTTTTCACATGCCTGTATTTATTGATTTAGTCAAAATCCTATAATCAACATTTAAAATTCTCTCATACAAATAATTATAGATATAATCCGTGTATAATTACTGCTGTACCATTTTTAACTTTTCTCATACACTATGGTTAGTGATAAGATTGTTAAATTATTTTTATAAAAAATCTTTAAAAACATAATTTATATTAATTATCCCGTGCATAGCACGGGTGATAGGCTAGTCTATACTATATATTAAGCAAAAGGGGGATTTTTAACCCCAAGCCTTGTGGGAGCTCCAATCTCCCAATCTAAATTTCTTAATTTTTTGATTTAAAAAAAAAAAAATCTTAGCATTTATTAACTTCTCACAACTCCCAAGTCTTACACTCATAATAACACTTTATTGCATTA